ATCCATCCCTTTCTTCAAGAAACAATTATCTTTTAAAAAATCTCTAGGAAAGTTCTCTCTAGGCATATCATAATGTGATCATCTGTTTCTAAGGACTAAATTGATAAAACAATTTTCTTCAAAGGTATGTTTCTCCTAGTAGTTTTCTTCTTTTACATTTTTTCACCTTTCAGGCTACGGTTACTAAAATAAGCTTTTCATACATTCAAGCATTTTCAGCCTTTAGAGTTAACAACCTGTCTTTGGCATAGTTGTGAGCAGGATCCACTCTGTGCCAGGAACTGTGCTAGATGCCCAAAATACATAATCTCATGTTCTTTCTAACAACCTCTTGAGTTAGCTATGATGTTTGCTATATAATTGACAAAAACGAGGTTATTCAGAATGTCTGAATCATCTCAAGGCTAGGGAAGCTGACCGAATGTAATGAACTGTGACTGAGCAGTTGGTTACAAAACACAGCATCATTCCACGTGGGCCAGTCGTCACTTTCCTCTGTAGTACATCCTCATTTTGCAGATGAGAGACAAGGTAGGATGGCCTGAGGCGGCTCCCCACCAAGATTTCCTGCTCTCCTTCACCACGGAAGATACTTGAGAGTCCTGGTACCTCGGACTTGTCTTCTGTGGTTTAAGGTGATCAATGAGCAATAATGTTTCCTTTCCACTCAGTTCTTAGAGCATCATCAGCAACAACCTCCCATCTGGGCCCACTAGGAGGCTTAACACAGAACTGTTGGGACTCTCTTGTCTAAGCAGAGTACAGGTTTAATATCCTTACCAGTCTTTACGAGACTCTAACTTTGCTTTTTAATTGGAGACTATTGTTCTGATAATATGTCATAGTGATGAAGATAATAAGGATTAGCTCAGAGTCAGGCTTATCCCTGTAAGATGAAGGTGTCAGGATTGGCTTTATGAAGGAGTTAAATTGAGATAAATTTGAAAGATAAATAAATCATGCATAGGGAACAAAAGGAAAGGGCAGTATTCTGGTACAGAACACCCAAATGCACCAAAGCAAAGCTAACCTGGATATGTCTGGACGAAAATGAGTAATTCTCCTGGAATAAAGGTTTAGTAGGAGAAGTGGTAAAGAGTAATGTGGAAAACTGGTGCAGGCATGTTTGTGAAGAGCTTAAGAGTTTGAGCACCATCTTAGGGTTTTTAAATTGTCAAGAAATATGGTAACATAAAAACAGCATTTTGGGGGAATATATCAGTAGGGTCAGAGGCTGTAATGGTGATGTAGAGAAAAAAATCGTATTATTCAGAATTTCTAAATATGGGAGAATTTCTTGATATGTATGAAAAGTAAAGAATGCCTATTTTGAGAGGTTATTTCCAGTTTCTTCCAACAAGATAATTATATTAATATCTCACATGTCGGCACACTTTTTTGGTAAAGGCCATATAGTAAATATTTTAGGATTGTGGACATACACTCTCTACCACAAATATTCAACTTGTTGTAGCACAAAAGCAGCCTTAAACAATATATAAATAAAGTGACATGGCTGTGTTCCAATAAGCTTCATTTAGGGACACTGAAATTTTAATTTCATGCAATTTTAATGCATCACAAAATAGCACTTTTCTTTTGATATTTTCCAACCATTTAAAAATATCAAAACCATTCTTAGCATGGGGTTGTGCACAATCCGATGGCAAGCAGGATTTGGCCTGCAGGCCAGAATTTGCAAACCCTTGGTCTATAGAACATCAGTTAGAACTCTCAACCTAGCATCATTTTGCAAACTGTGACTGCTCCTCTGAAGTCTTCTATTCAGCATTTGGAAGGAAATCATTGCAGTGTTGAATGAAATAGTGAGAAAAGAAGGGGACAACTAGTGAATCAGACTAACCATATGAACTACTGGAGTCAGTGGGACAACATACGTCCTATACACACCAATCCAACAGCTGCTTGTCTGAAACCTTCAGAGAAAAAAAAAATCGATCAATCAATACTACTTCAAACACAGTCTGAAGTCAGCACTTCAGTAATTGCAGAGGGAAAGGCAAAAGTGGTGGGCTTTGCTTTTATTCCACTTGTCTATGTGATACCCTTAAGGAAAGCAGTACAATGCAGTTCTTAAAGGGCGTGAGCGGCAGCGTTGAAGGAAGCTTAGTGTGCAAGCAGTGTGTAAAGTTGGGTCTCTTTGGAGAGACCAATGAGGCTGGAATAAGTAGTGAGAACTAGCCTGGGAATGGAGCACAGGCGGGAATGTGAGAGTTGCAAAGGAAAAATTGACAGGACTTGGTAATTCATGAGACGTGGAGGCTGAAAAAGAGAGATGAAAAAGATGCAAGATGTTTGTAAATGCTCTCACTATCTTATTCAGTGCCACTAAGAAGCACGCAGGCAAGGGGACAGTGTAGGGAGTGGGGAACGGGGAACTTACGAGGCTGGAGGGCAGCACTTCACACAAGCAAATCACACACGTACACTAAATCCTGATAAATGTTAGGCTGACATTATTGGCAGATGCAGAGAGAAGGGACCTCATTAATGCCCACATGTTATATATGTTTCAAGTGTTATCAGAGGAAAGACAAGGGTGAAATGATATCATCATGATGTTGATGGTCCAAATAAGGAAGCAGTCTGTGCCATCGTATTATATAGAATCCCTCTCATTTCTTCGAGCTGATTTCCTTTTGCTCGCTTGGCATTGGTCATGTCTTATAAAGCAAATATACCTAAATATTTTTCATTATTTATCTTCAACTCCCCCCCCCAGTTCTATTTGCTTATCTGTATCACAAACATATGAGAAAAATAAATAAACACAATAAGGCATTGTATCTGGAGGTAAAGATACATAATATTGGAATTCAGAAAAGGAAAGTTTACATAGATATAATCCTCCAAACATTTAGCACTATCTATTAATTTTATCTGCTTCATCCATACCTGTAGGTGTCCAGGGGAATTGCTAGGGCACTTGCTCCCTAAAAGAGGCACCTTCCTGCTATGATCATCTCCCCAAGGCAGCAAGGCATGTAGCAGAGTCTCGTGTCAGTTCTGCCTAGAAGTGTACCAAGACATATTTCTAACAAGTTATTGTTTTACATACACAGAATGAAATAGAGATTAAAAAGTGATCATTGTCTTCATTGTTTAGATTCAAGTAAAAGTAAGCTTTTTAGTCTAATTCTAAGACAATCATTTCAATTGTCCACTTCAGTATGCGAAAGTAGTCAGCTGGTGCTCAGTAAATGTTTGTTGCCAAATTAAATTTCCTACCATTTTATACAACTATTTATATATAAATGAAATAATTTAAAATCTGAAATTTTCCTAAAAAATGTAAACAATAGGATTTAGTTTAAAATATCTTTAATTGGCTTACATTTCATACATATTTGTATCTTAAGAGACCTATGATGAAAATAATGTGGCCAATATATAATTATCAATGGGTTTCCTTAATTATTAATTAGGAAATATTTAGAAGTGGACTCTTTTCTGATCTATTTACATTTTGTAAGGAATAGAAAGTTAATTTATAAAATCAGAAAATTCACTGGTAGTAATCCTGGCCCATTTTGTAATGAGGAAACTAAGCTACAGAAGTTTTTTTTAATGGCTTTCTCAAGATGTCACAACTAACCAGAACCTCCAGGATTGGACTTTCACTTTGATATGTTAGAAGGTGCAGAAAATATCCAGTTCTTAGGAGACACAGAGGAGGCAGAGGGACCCTAATCTGTGACCTGACACTACCCCCCACCCCAAGGGGTGCTACTGCCAGTCTGTAACTATGTATTATATGTTGCTTTATAACACAATGTTTACCCTGGAAATCAATTATTCTGCTACTATGTAACCAAATACATTATACATTTCTTCATTATTACAACAACCACAAATAAATATGTAGAAACTTCTACAAACAAATTACCATGAATAAAATAAATGAGTAGATATAGACAGTGAAAATCAGAATTAGACAAACACTATTATCATATTAATGTATCATTTAAATGCTATGATCCTATTCTGAGGTGCTCTCATTTTACTAGCCTCTGCATTAAGCCAGCCAGAATTTGAATTAGTCCAGATTAGGTCTTAATATATTATTTATAGATTTTTACTGATGCTAAATTATGCATTTTCATACAAACCAGTATAATAATTCTGTCAGGTTCATGTAAAAGCAATTTTTGAATGTACAGTAAATTGTTATATTAAAATAAAATATTCATGTTTTTTCATAGACTTGAATCAAAGGAGCCTTTCCTGTCTGTTGGGTGAGTATGTCCAAATATTTTAAATATTGAGTTTTTAGTTCAAATTAAAAAGGGCTTCTGAGATGGCATTTCCAATCATTTAACCCCATATTCAAAACATAAGATATCATTGCGTGCCACATTGCTATCGATGTTTTGTGAGGACTTAACTAAATGCTCCCTAGGCTATATTATGACCTCAGAAATTCAGCTAATAAATGTATGTGAAATCCTGTGCCTTGATAAGAGTCAAACCGGGTACACAGTGATTATCCATATTCTCATCGTGTAAAGTTATGCTCAGATTGGTCTTGAAAGTTCCTCTAAGCCATAGGTTTGCTATTTCTAGTCTGTCTATAACTTTTGTACTCTATTTCTTTTCAATCTACTCTGCTCAGTGCCTCTTCACCTGCCTTCTGTAAATCTGTCTTCAGAATCTGTATCTGTCTCTTCTCCTTCTCCTTCATTTCACTTTTATTTCTACAATTCACTCACACTGATTGGCTGCTTCTCTACACACAACGATGAGGACCCCCCAGGCAGATTTAGGTAAGACTAATGCTTGCCTCCTGTGATGGGTAACTTTCTGAGTCACAATACATGTCTTAAGTATAATATGTTGTTGACAAGAATACACGTGTACTATTTTCAGGCATTTATTCCTAATTAATAAGAAGCAACACTATTTGCATCTGATCTGTCAAATAATCCTTTAACAAACACATTAAAATGTCTTATGAAGGAGTTTTTACATGCTTGGTATTATGGTTGATGTTTTAAAGTATCAGAAGTGTCGGAAGATGTGATCTCTAGCTTACAGAAAATCATGCTATATTTGATGAGGAAAAAAAAAATCACATATAGGGAGCCACAATACTCATGTTTAATGACCAGAAACACAGGATGGGGTTAGATTTTTAAATGATCAGATCAGTTTTCTTTTATTATTTTGTATGCATCTCTTGAATATTTCTATCACTCACTGAGCAACGTGGTTCCTCATTCCTTTCTATTCCTCATAATAGCATTTCAGAAAGCCATTTGAATCATGGAAATCAAAATAATTGTTGGGAAAGGTGAAACAGAAAAATGGAATATATGCATTTATTGGAGGACTTTGTGAAAAATGAAAGGTCAAGTTGGTCTGAGCCAAAAAGATCATTAAAGCATGCTTTTTTACCTGCATTGATCATCAACTTCTATTGTTAAAAATCTCTAAACCCAAAGAAATCTTTTATTTTGAATGCATATGTATCTGCCCTCAAGTCAAGGGGGCTGAAATAGCTTCTCTTCATGCCTCACTTAGTGCAGTTTCTCTGAAGCCTTTCCTGTTCTCCTGAGTACTTTCAGATGAAATCCATTTTTTATTGCATGCCTCTGTTTTACAAGGGCAGACCCTAAGTAGTCTTTGTTTGAAACTTATCAGGAGTTTAGCACTCAGTTTTTCCCTGAGAAAAACTTTCCGAGAAAGAATGATGTATAACTCAGCAAATGCTCAAAATGGGGAAGTTGGCATGGCACTAATAACATATTGCTGTTCTTTATCTATATCTTAAAAGTAAAATGGGGTGAAACATGCGACCCAAATGGTTCTGCCACCTGGATATTTTAATTTATAGCTGAATTTTTCCATTTTCCTTCCAGAAAATGATTTTCAATAAAATTGTCCAAAACTATGTATGAATCTCTCTCCTGCTCTGCTCAGTAAAAGGATGGGGTGGAAGTCAAGTAATGAACATATATAAGCCCACCAAGCACCAGGCAGTCTAGTATAAGAACCATTATTCAAGTGTGTGACTTTTAATCCATAGTCATATGCCAAAGGAAATAAATGCGTAGTATCAGTTGACACATGAGTATATAACATTCAGTTTGTCCCCTGCACACCTCACTTACGTTAAGTTTAATTCTATGTTCAATAAAAATGTGTGAATTATATTCATGAATAAATCACTGCTAAATACTGCATACTTCAGTCCTTTGCCTGCCAGTGTCTTAAAACATTAGTTAATATGTATAATATTTCTAATACTTGCTTTCACCCTCATAAGCTCTGACACTTACAAGTTAGGTGTATCAGTTTAGGCAATTACTTAAACTCCCAAGCTTCAGGTTCTTATTTGTGAAGTGGAGCTTAAATGAGATAATTTTGATCAAGCATCTAGTGCTGTTCAGCACATAGTAATTGTGCATATGTGTTAACTATTATTACAGTTCTGGAAGGTATATTCATGTATAATACTCTAAAAAGTCAATCAGAGAACTCTAAAATATTTCAAAGAATAATGCTCCATTTTTATAGGCAGTGCTTTGAGTTACATGTGGAAATCAAAAGAAGCTTTTATAATGAAGGAAAAAATAAAAATTGTGATGAAATGAACTCCAAGCAAGATGAGTACAGATATTGTTTCAGAATTTAATGAGGAACACTGCTAATTGTCATTTAAATTTTTAAAATATAAATATTGATATATTTTAGTGTGCATGTCTTCTTAATGCAAATTAGAGAGCCAAATTATTCTCTGGATAAATATGCTACACTGATTTGGAAATAAAATTATAAAGTGTCACAACATAAACTCAATCTGAATATAGCAATGGGAAAAAAAACTGTCAAAGAAAGTTACACACAAGAAAATATTTGCAAAAAATAAATAATAAATAATAAAAAAAGAAAATATTTGCTTATCGAGAAAGATCAGGGAATTGTGAAAAGAGGTTGAGTGAAATTTCAGATGTCTGGTCTTCAACTACACATTGAGATAAGAACTTTCCTTCATGTGCACCAGGAAATGATTAATAAAGGAATTTCATTGGGGTGAAAAAAAAACACTATAACTTCTTGCCTTACTTCATGTAGTTTCTCTCTAATGTACCTAGAGTGAGGCGTGAAGACTCTAGAGTGTGGTTCTTGCCACCCAGGGAAGGTCAATAGATACAGTGCTTCTCAAAGCTACCCAGGCGATTCTGACACCAGCCAGGCCTAGGAGCCATTGTCTACATTGAGTTTCCATCCTCCTCCATCGTTGTCATACACACATAGACAAGTTGTTCTTATAGACACTTACCATCTTTATAATCTCCTCAGAAAATCTTTGAAATATAACTTCTCTCAGCCCTTTCCTGTTTTGCATGCATAGGGTAGAGACTAGAACCGTCTTGGAGTTCACCCATCAGAGACCATGCTAGATGCAATGACCCCGGCATGTGTGCCACCTAAGTCGCCACACTTCCTGTGCTAAGGTGCAGAAAAACTCATTCTGATGTCATTCTAGACCTAAGACAGAGATTGTATTGCATTTTAAATTTTAAATTAGTAAGTAATACAATTCAAATACTCATTATTTTATAAACATCTATTTATTAAATATTAATAGCTAATTTTCTACTTCAAATCATTATAAATATATTTAAATTTATAAATATATAGTGTTAAATATATGTTTATGTTATTATCAATAAAATAAACTTATAAAATAAATTTAAATGCTAAATTCTTGCCCATATCACCCACCTAACAAAAAAAAAATGTTAAGCAACATCTTTTCTTAATGCAGAGCTTAAGCTTGGGGGCTAAATGAGTACTAAATGGTTGATATTCTAATCAACTTTGAAACATTACCTTTTAGTGCAATTAATAAAACTGCTGGCAAATGCTTCCTTTTATGTGGCATCAGATAGATTCTGACTTTGGAAATAAGCTGCAGGAAACAGGCATCAAGTTTGCATTTAGAAAAGTGAATAAGAACAGAGTGATCATCTCAGTTAAGATTCTAAGATACAAATCTTAGTTTAAAAGCAATCTTGCCTCGAAAAAGATTTTTTACAACTTTTTAATGAAAAATATAGATGAGAGGGAAACAAAGGTCCTTCGTGTGCAGTTTGAGATTCCCATGGTAAAGGACATGTCAGTGCAATGCATGAGGTCTCTTCAAGTGCCACGCTGACTGTTGATAACCTTGCAGACACCGAGCCACTTTTAACATGCACTCAAGACACCAAAGGAAAATATGCATGTGAATTATTTCTTCTTACCTCTTCAGCATGAAATTGGCCTTTTTAAAAGAAGACTTTAATATGAATCAGTTGTATTTTGAAATTGAGACTTTGATTTATACCAATTTTTCAGTTGATGAGTTTTTTTCATGAGTTGCTTTATTATGAGGATGATTGTGGGTAAAAATATTTTCAGATTTTTTTCACTTTATCAGAATAGTTTAAACAACTCAGAACAATTTAAAAATTATATTTATATCCCTCAGAATCTATTATCTCCCAGTTTGGGAGATTTTTGAGAATACATTGAGGACAAAAATACCAAAATTATTATATTTATCTCTATTGTGGCGCTGGCTCTGTGATGAGCTGATCATGGCCCAGTCAAGCCTGGGTCTGTTAGGTCCCTTGATGTGTGTGGGATCTATTCTGCTAAGTCCACATAAGAGGGAGTAAAGACTGTCAGGGCAGCAAAGCCTCCCCTGCATCTAAAAACTGACCCTCATAAATGCTAACAGCTGTATTTTGTGAAATTATTTTCCTTGGGGGATATTTTCCCCCTTTTGTTTCCATCTTGAAACTGAATTTGAATCTTCAGCATACTTCTGCTGTTATGAAGATGTTATTAAGCCTTGACATTCTTACTAAGTTAAAGATTCATACGATTTTACTTTTATTCAGGTTTTGTAGGAGACCTTGTGTTTAGTAACAGATGCTATACATTATTATACTATTAGCCACCTGCTTTAAGAGCCTCAGTTCTTTAATTTGATTTTCTTGGTTTGAATCCCATTCTGTCACTTCCTATACAAGTGGCTTGGGCAATTTGTTTAACTTTTCTGAGCTTCCATTTTCTCACCTAAGGTAGTAACTAACTCTTATGGCTGTTACGAATAAGCTCAAGGTGCTTCAAACAGTATCTAACACATAGTAAATGAGAAATAAATACCAATTATTATTAATATTCTATGCAACAATTAAATTATATTATAAATCTTTTCTAAAGAGATAAGTTCTACTGAATC